ACCACTTCCATTACAGAAAACAGCTAAGGAATCTTTGACAAAAGGTTTTATGTATGAGGGTTTTATTATGGCCTATGTCTCGTGTTCTGTGAGACTTAGATGTTTGGGAAAAATGGTGACATGATTTTGAAGACAATGAGTGTAAACAGAGTTAGATGGGGTATGCTCAGAACACTGTGGAATGAAAAATAGGAAGATGATATATCAGGCATGGTTGTTATATAATTGTCATTTCAGCACGCAGGGAGGCAGATGACAGAGGATAAGCTCTAGGCTAGCCTGGACAACACAGAAAGTCTCATTTCTTTCCATCTTGATAGCTATCATCTGTCTATATCTACCTATCAATCTCGGGCTGTTTATATAAGCTGAGATAAATATAGTATACCTATAATTTCTTTTTTGAATATGTTTTTGATAAGTTTTAGTGGTGATGGAGGATCTAGAGAGAAGCTTACTAGAAGTGATGGAAATTTTATGTTCATACCCCCTTATACTTGCTGATGATAGACTTTGAGGCCACCTTTGTAATACAAGAGAGTCTGTCCCAAAAACAAAACAAAAAGAAAGAGTATGTTTTATCTAGTTAATGACTGAAACCATGCCAACTGATAATAAGAGTATATTGCTTAATAACCTGACCATAAATGGTTGTGTATCCTGCCGGGCAGGGATACTTTAGATAAGGCAAGAGGAAAAGGTGGAGCTTGATGAAGTGCATGATGTCATGTAGGGACAGTGTCCCATGGAGGGCTAGATTAGGAATCATGGGAATCTGCAAGAAGGTGACTATAGTTGTACCTCTGATAGACAATGGAAAACAAGTCACAATCTAAGTCTTGTAATCATGGAACTAATAATTCATAAGAGGCCCCAGTTACAAATACCAATATCTCATTTATACATGAATTCCTCCTACCTAAATCTATTATTGCTTTTCCTTCAAGTTAAATTTGGTTTTGAGAAACATGACTAAATATCTAGGCCTATGTAATGTTTCCCTTTGTTTTACAAGTCTATTCTTGTACCACTAGATATTTATATCTACCTGTGTATACACAACCGAGGTTACATGTGTTTGTTCTCTGACATTTGGTCATTATATAAGCAAACAGTGATTATTTATCAAGAAACATAATATATGTATTTGTGGATCTATATATCCATGTTTTACCTAGTGGGTAAAACAAAGACATCAAGCACCTTTTGTTCATTTCCTGAGGAGGAAAAAAAAGCCAAACTAAACATGTTGATGTTCATGAATAATCCCAGCACTAGGACAGCAGAGGCAGAGGGATTGGCACAGGTTCAATTCCAGCTTGGTCTACATAGAAAGTCCCTATCTCAAAAACAAAAACAATAAAATGAAGGCAAGCCTCAGATGAAGGCAAGTAGGTGTAGCCATTTTATTGACAGATCTTCCAGCCATGACCAGTAAACTAGTATTCAGTTGAGCAAGCATTGATTGGTTTCTCCTATTCCAGGACTTCTCCCAGTTGAAAACATCAGGAAAGGTAGGAAAGGCAGGTGAGGTGGTCAAATGGGTCAACATGCAGTAGAAAGCAGATGGGGATACATAATGGTTAGAATCCCTGAGAACTCTTGAGCTTGTGAATAGCAGCATTAGTGTCACCATCAGTAGCAATGAGAGCTTGCAGGTTGGCATTATAATTCACAAATCCCATGGCCTGGAGACATTCCATCTCTTTGCTGAAACGAACCTCAGGGGCTTGTGAGGAATGGGAAGGGTCTCCAGGCAGGGGCTGTACACCCTGAAGGGCTGTTCCAGATTTGTGGCAGCTTTCAGAACTCTGAGGCTCAGTCATGTCTTGCATATTCCAGGTCCAGGGCACTGTATCAGAGTAGCCATAGCTGAAAGGAATAAGCCAACTGAGACCCCATAGGTAAGGTTCAATGTAGGGCAAAAGGGTAGGAGCCTCTGTAGCCAATAGCTGCAGACCATGCTCAATTTGTAATAATGCTTGTGATGTTTTCGGGTTGGCTAGGGCTAAAAGCAAGTCATGAAGCTGTGATGACGGCAAGGATGCGGGAGTTTGCTGCCTGCACTGCTCATCCACTTGGGGCGTATTCATGAGCAGCAGCATCTGAGCTGCCATGTATGGGTGGTTCCTAAGCAACTGGATCATGCCTCCTGTGATCTGAGAACCGGTCTGGTCATCCAACTGCTGGAGATCTTCCTCTAACAACTGGTCAGAGCTACCTAGAGGGATGGTAGTATTCTTATCAACTTGAGGCTCCTGGATGACTGGTATGGTAGATAAGACTGGAATCTCAGATGGCTGCTGAACAACACAGACATTGCTTTGGCCCTGGGTAGCAACTATGGCTGGATTCTCCCTGGGAACATTGTTGGTGTTATTTGGAGTAGCACTTGTTGGGGTGATTGATGATAATTCACAAGAATTTGCATAAATTACTTGGGAAGAAGAAAGTGGGTCCCATTGTTCCTGAGGTAATGGTTGAGATAGGCAAGGAGTTTGGACTTGTTCTGGTGGTACTTGTCCAGCCAGAAGAGCCATAAAAGAGTTGCCCTCCAAAAGATCATGCACACCATTGAGCATTTGGTCATTGAAATTGACATACCTCTGGCCCAGGGAATTGTTCCCATTTGGAATTGTTTCTAAGCCCAAGTATGGCAGTGGGTTCGGTGGATGCTCAGGGTTCTGTGCTGGCTGCTGGATCTGCATTATCTCTTGGATGATCGCAAGGTGCCTGGCCAGCTCCAGAGTCTGGCATAGGGTCTCAGGATTGTCAAGAAGATGGGAAACTTCTGGGTTCTGCTGTATCAGTTCTTGCATATATGGGTGTTCTGGAGGCAGCTGATTCATGAAGTCTATACTAGACAGTAGTCTCTGGACACAAAGATTCTCCAGTATCTGTGCAATATGCTCTGGACTACCCACTTCTGGGCCTTGAGCCTCTGGCTCCACAAGAAGGGATGAGTCCACTTTAGTTTCACTCATACCTGCAGACTGGCACACCGTACTGCTATTTCCTTTGGGGTCTCTGTCTTGATGGCAAGGATTGTTGGTTAACAGATTCCGGAAAGAGTGATCCAGGGATCTGGAGCCATGCTTGGACTTGATGACCACATGGATAGTCTGGCCATCTGTGATGCCCCTGTGGCTCAGTGTGTCATGGTCTTTGAGTAGGCGGCCCATAAACACCAGTACCAGTTGTTCCATTTGGCATTTGAAGTGAGCAGACAGCTTCTCCTTGAACTGCCTGACTGAAATGTCATCAGCTACTATAAAGATGTTCTGGTTGCCTGGAGTCTTCACAATCACTCGAATGACACCTGGAGAGATGTTCCCATCTGCAGGGACACCTGCAGGATACCTGCTCTGGGGCATCCTAGGTGATCGAGAGATAATATGCGGCATAGACCTTGTGGGTAGGCAGATGGGGAGCAGGCAGAAGCAGGGTCAGAGAGGTGAGGGCAAGCAAGTGGTACTGCTGGCCTTCGTTGCAGGTGTTGTGTTCTGAGGTCATAGGTTAATTTTTCTTGATGCCCCTAAAAGGGATGAATGGGCTTAAGCCAGTATTATTCGATGTTGAGCCCTCACCCCAATTCTCCAGATGTGGCCCAGCTGAGGCCTGGCGTGGCTACTGACTCATACTTGGCACAGAGTGGACTAAGTAGTGATGACCCTTCACAGCTGCCCCACCCCCAAGGGCATGACCTGTCCAGAAAAGAAATATTGTGATGTCAACTTAAGCCTCACAATACATCATGATGGAATGAGGATGAATAAATTTGGGAGAGTGCAGAAGTTTCTCTTCATAATAAAACAAAATAGAGAAGATTTTTAAAAATGAAGATAAAAGTTCCAGTAAATAATAATAGTAGCAATAAGACAGATATGGAATGTGTGTAGGTCCCTCTTTGGAATAGTCAGGCTTATTGTGTAAAGTGAATCTGCTGAAACCATTTTAAAAAACTCATTCTAGAGAGTAAGATTGGAGTCTGTATTACAAGAAGGACTTTTGCTAATGATCTTGACAAAGTGGCCATTAGAAAGGAAATTGGAGACCAGACTTGATAGGACATGCCTTTAACCCCAGTACTCTGGAAGCAGAGACAGGAAGATGTCTATGGTGATCCTGGTCTACAGAGTGAGTTCCAGGCCAGCTAGGGCTTACGTAGTGAAGTCTTGTTTCATAAATTAAATCAATTAAACAAAATAATATGTTTAAAGAAGGAAAATAAAACAAAAGTGAAAATCTTATGTGAAAAGTGAAGCCACATTGTCCTCTGAGGTTTAGACTGTGGGACTGTAGACTTAAGTGAGAGTGTATCCATGTGATAAGTGAATATTTTCTTCTTCTCTGGGAAGGAGGTATGGGACTGGCCATGAAGGCCTTTTACAAAGATACTCCCAAGAGAGGAGAGTAGGCTGCTATTTGCAGCACATTTTCATTCACGTAGTTTACATGTCATTTGATCCCTATCTCTGCCTGCATAGCAAAATGTTTTCATGAAGGATTTCAAGGTCTTTGCCCAGGCTTAAGTGTAAATACCAAGGAGATTAGGTACCTCGAGGTCAAGGGACAGCAGTGAAAGAGGTTAGCGATGCATTTCCTAAGGGAGAAAAGTTCCCACAAGTGAAGAGTCAAGATTCTTGGGACCCAGATCTTGGAGTTAGTATCTGATTGTTTTTCATTAGGAAGCTCATGAATTATTAGTAAATATGTTAATATATCCACATGAGTACTTAAACATATAATTACATATATATATTTCTATATATATATATTGAAATTTCACATGTTCTACGATTCATATTTGTGAATATTCACAAAAAGAAAGTGCATGTATCCTCTGTGACTAGGCTAGCTTGTGGATCTGGGTTTATACTGCTACCTAGAGAAAGGGGATAATTGTGTACCCAGATAAGGGACACACAGAATTTGAAACTGCATGTTCTCAATGTGTTGAAGAGAGGCGTAAAAGGACAAACGCATGCTAGGAGACTTTCTGCAATCATACCAAGAAGTCTTTATTGAGAATGTCTCCAGACACAGTCCCATCCATATCCCATGATACGAATCCTGACTGACATCCTGGAACACAGTCAGACCCAAGTGCCTCTTCCAATTCTACTCTAAGACCGGTTGAGGGCAGTGAGGAATTTATCTTCAGACCAAGATTCTGACTCTCTTCTCTGTAGAACCTTTTAGGAGTATGGAGATCCAAGAGGAAACTTCTGTACCCCACTCTCAATACCAGCTTCCATGGATCTTCAGTGCTGAAGCCAGATGCACTCAACCCTGAGTACTAAAGGTCACATGATCCTAGAATTCTAGGTTCTATCCTGATAAGTTTTAAAGCATGATGACCAAGCATCAGGAAAAAATAAAATAAAGAGGGCAACATTGCTCTACCTAATAGTTTTGTTTTTTGGTTTTTTTTTTTTAGTGCTAAGGATTGAATAATGAGTTTTCTTCATACCTATTGTGCTAAGCATTAAATCTAAGGCCTAGTATATGCTAAACACATGATTCAGCACTCAGCTACCTTCTTAGCTAACAATGTATTTTGTTTCTTAATCAAATCCTTGTAGGCCATTATTATTAGAACCTTAATGTGTTGACTGAGATAGTGATTACATATAAAACAAAATTAATCAGTGTACTTCAATCATTTGAGTGGACAGTTATTAAGGGAGTTGTCCTTCTATAGGGGAGGAAGAGAACATATTTCTAATAGGACCCTGGTGAGTCATGGAGTCTCCTGTTCTGGATGCTTGCTGGACTTGACGGGTTTGGATGGAGCTGAAGCCCCAGAAGGCCTTTTCATGGGAGAGCTTGATAGCTTTTGCTTTAGTGTTAGGAAGGTGAGATCATAATGTATTAAGAATCCATCATTATAAACATAGAGTCTGTGATCCCAAGGGCAGTAATTGATGCCATGCAGAGTTTCCAGCATCTTGTCCAACAGGATGTTGAGATGGTGTTCCTGCCCTGTGGTCGTGTCATAAGCATAAAATATTTCCTCTTGACGAGTGCTTAGTGAGCGCAAAGCATAGAGCACCCCACAGGCCATGAAGGCCCCTGAAAGAGCAGGCTTATACTGGCTAGTATACCAGGTTTGCTCAACTTCTAGGGTGCTATCATTGAGAAGACTTACAACCAGATTGCCTTTGCTCTCCTCTGTGGCATAGAACACCCACAGTCCCTTCTCATCACCAGCAAAATCTATGTCAGTCCAAGGCACACAAGCATATGAAAAGCGGTTGTTGTAGGTGGCACCAGGCAATGAACGTCGCAGCACTAGGGTGTTGGAAGAAAGGTCCACCTTGGCCATGTCTCTTGTGCCATAGTAGTTAAAGTACATAAAGTTCTTGTACACAGTATTGCCACTGCCATCACCATAGCCAATCTTCCACTGTTCATAGTGCTTCAGCAGCACCAGGTCATCATAAGATTTGTGCAGCCTACAGTAGTCAAAGTACCTAGGCCAAGCCCCACCCAAAATTAGAACCATTAAGTACAGCAGTAACCAGGGTAGTAAAGTACTATGAAAATGGTCATCCCCAAATGGGACAACTATAGCACCATCCCTATACTCAAGCCCCAGGAAACATAGGAGAGGGTGGGAAGATTAAGTGTAACAACCAAAGGACCAGGAGACCTGCTGTGTCTTCTGGATATGATAGAAATTTTGTACAAATGAACTCACAACAATATAGCCACCTATGGTTGACTAATAAAAGTCCCAACATAAATGTGAGAAATGTTTCTGAGGTCATCGCCCTCAGAGAGCTACAAGCAGTCCATAGCTGTAGGGAAAAGATAGAGTGTTTCTTCAGGTGCAAACCCCCTAACAAATTTCCTATGTCCAAGTGGTCAGCCCTACAGATGCTTACACATGGGAAGTACTAATAAGACTCACTAAAAGTGTGTGTGTGATGTGTGTGTGTGTGTGTGTGTGTGTGTGTGTATAATTACAGAAGAAGAGTACATACATTTTAAAGGGAGATATGGAGTGTACACAGGAAGACGTAGAAATGAGTCAGGGATGGAAGAATAGACATAATGAACATACACAAAAATAAAAGTGGGAAGCCTGATATGTTAATTAAGAGCATGGACTTTACAGCCAAATGGCATTTATATTCCATCTTTTATTTACTACATACTATGCCAAAATGAATAGCCATTTTAAAAGCAACAACTACAGTATCTGCTAACAATGTAAATGCATATTCTTATTAAGTAATACTGAAAATATTATATAAAGAAATTTTACCCTCAACGATTGTAGGACTAGGTCTCAGAAAGTTTTGATTCTTTCTTCAGTCACACAGTTTATAACTGAAACCTAACAGGAATAACAAAAGTCTATACTTCATTGACTGTGAGAATTGACCTAGACCATAAAAACAATAAATTTAGTACAGTGTTTATTGTAAAGAACAATCAACAAGGAGTAGCTGATGCATTCTTTACTGACAGCCCCTGTACAAAGGCTGCACTGTATGCCTTGCTGCTGGTGAGATACAAACAGACTATGGTTCTAGAGTTAGGTTCAAGAAGGTTTCAATAAAATCATTCTTAAGTTACAAAAATTCCTATTCTTTAGCATTGGACAGTAGTTCTAAACTACCAATTAGCCTCTGGAGAGTAATCAGGGAAAAGATACAGGCTTGCTGGTATATCTTACAGGCTACGTAGGCTAACTGGAGCTGGGGAGCATTATTATGACTAATGTCATCTCTTTCAGAAAAGCTTCAAGTGTGGCTCTTTAATGGCTGGTTCCCTTCACATTTATTTCTCTCTCCCATGATCTGCTGCTCAGCTAAGTCTACACCATACTTCCACATACATTGACTTTAAGCAGGGTGAGTTGCAGCCACCTTCCTAGCCAGCTGATACACTGAAGGGCTCACATACTTGTTCACTGATTCAACTTGCCATTTATTTAACCAACAAATACTTGTTAGCACCTACTGTGGTGATTCCTACTTTTCCATGTAATCTCATAAAGTTTTATCATATATGTAATCTTCCTCAGGCTATACATGGTTAAGAATGGTTCATCAGTCTGAAGTCATTTAACATAAAGCCAATATTAAAAATCAGTACCACTCAGTATCACTGTATGTCTCAAGGCTGACCAGGATCATTGTTTGAAGGTCTAAGCAAAAGACTGGGACTCTAAAGCTAAGTTATAGAACAATTTGTATTTGAGTTGGGATAAGAAAATAGCTCATGATAAAATTAAAAACTTCAGAGTAGTAGGAGCCCTGTAAGTCCCATAGGAAATATTGGTTGGACTGCCAGGCCTAGGCTACACTGGCTGGCTCAACAGCAAACATAAATCAAAGATAAGAATCTGTACTAGGGCTACTAAGAAACCTGTTGGAGCCAGATTAAAGTTCATATGGAATGGATCTAGGTACAGAAAATTTGTCATCTAGGACTCACCTGCCATCAGCACGCAGAGGGGCCACCCAGTAAAGGGAAGAAGCTGGATTGGGTGCTGAATCACGACCCCAGGCACCTGCCTTATGTGATAAACCCCTCCAATTGAGCTTTACCACAAGGGGTCTGCTCACTTTCTGCAGGCCTCTATGAGCACAGGAACCTACAGGGGAGAGTGGGCAAGATATTAGCTAGCTGCATAAGCCATAGAAAGCAGAGTATGGACCATAATTAGTACACGTGTGCTTGAAAGGATGTTCATGCAAGTGTATACATAATCATATAAATAGACTGATTTTGCATGCATAGAGATGAATGCATATGCCTGGCTATGAGGAGTATGAATAGCTGCATATGTGAATATGTCTGTAAGAAGATACCCATCTTGGTATGATCAGGAAATTGAAGGTTTATTCCTTATCAAGATCTTAACTGGCTTCCCCTTAGTCCCTCAGGTTACTATAGCAAGCATGCTTTGGCCTAGTCATTGAGAAACACGATCTTGAAGAAATCAGTCTGTGAACTCACCAGGAGCCAGGGGTGGACCAGGATGTCTAGAGGACTGTTCCTGTTCCTTTTCCCTCTCGCACTCACTTAGCTGGCCCTCAAGGATGTCCACTTCCTCTCGGAGGGCATGGAAGCTTTGTCGGTCAGAGTCAAGCAGAAGTTTCAGGGTCAGACTGGCATTGGTCACCTAAGAGAATGAGATGACAGGATCACTGGGTATGCTCAAGCTCAAGTCACACTGTCATCTTCCTAAGGTTAGACTCTTCTCCAGAAAGAAGAGGTTTTGGAAAGTGTCTCACCAGGTAAGACAGGGGGCTGTGAGAGAGAGGGAGGGCTGCTCAGTGTATCTACACACCCGGTCCTGGAGTTGATGGAGGAGGTCCAAGGCCCCACTGACACCTCCGTTGGCCTTAAGCTGGGATGCCAACTCCTGTGCTCCTTCTAGCTCCAGGCGTAACAGGTTGAAGGCTGGGTTGTCATATTGAGACACAGTGACACCAGGATTCCTAGACTCCAGCATGTGACTCAGTTCTAGAGTCTGGCTGTCTTGATCTTCAATGACATGTACATACTCCTTGGCCTGAGCATTAGAGGATGGGTATGTAGTTCCTCTAAATGTCAAGGATCCTGACTTTTCCCACCCATTCACATCCAGAGATTATACGTACAAACCATCTATGTCTATTACCTTACTTAACAGTACTATTATCCCCATTTCTTACCTGAGGACATCCAGATCCTTGTTTTTCTGGAGCCAAATAAATTCCACCTATATCATTCACAGAACCCTTTAGAGCCACCCCTTAAGACTACTTAGATGAGTAAAAATATAAAAATACCAATTTCTAGTCTGACCATATATCATTAAGCTTACTTGGGAGTTCAACAAGTAAGGCTCACTAAAGCACTGGCCACATTGGACTGCAGATAGAATATTCTGCTCATTTGCCCTTATTAGGCCCAGTGTTGAGCTTTCCAGATCAGCCCACAAGGCCATGAACACAACATGCTATTTCGGTTCGTTGACACAAACCAGTTTTCTGCTCCTTCACATTGGTCATCCTAATTTCAAGCCTTTGATTAGACTACATGTATGTCTATGGTTCCCATTTCTTGTTTTTCAAAGAATCTATATCCAGCAATTTATCTTTTAATGAAAAAAGCACCTGAAATCATCGATGAGCTGTGTCTTATTGTTACTACTGTGGGAGATCATAAGAATAGTACTGGATTTCCATTTGATTCTAAGGATTGATCTCAAAGACAAAGAATCATTGCCATGAACTCATTTTTAAGCTGAAACCTATAAAGGATGTGCTCACAAACCTACTCTCCCAACTCCAGCACAAAGCTCCAGCACTCACCCTGAACAGCTCTTGTTCATACTTGCCAATGAGCTTTTGTAATGTACTCTGCAGATGTTCCAGCTGCTGCAGGAAGATAGAGCTGTTGGGTAGATGGACCACACACTGGAAACTGCCACTCTCATCCATAGAGTTTAATACACTTCTCACCAGCTGCAAAAGCAGGGCCAAAGACACGCTGAGGGCAATGAAGCAACTGGACCACCATATGCTGTTTGCAAAAGTGAAACAGGAAGAGGCCAGCCTTGCTCTGGAGTGCTGGAGAACAGTTAGTTCACTTTGCACATAAAGATCATACTGACTGTGTAGTGATCCTTCTGTGGGGAGTTTAGGTTATTTTTAATGTGCCAGAATTGAAGTTTCAGTCCTCTTCTAACTTCTATTGTTTGACCACCTTCATCCTGTATCATGGACTAAATGCATATGGCTACACGTCACATAGCAAATTGCCAATATCCCCTTCATCTGCTGGAGAAGGTAATGCTTTCTGACCTTCAGAAAAGCCCTCAGGCAGGCTTAAGGAACTGTGGTTCTCTACAAAGTCCCCACTTTAGTACTTGGTAGATCTCCACAACCTCAGTCTCTCCTGAAGAAAACAAGCAGAGAAGTTTCTAATCATCAAGGGAAGCAGCAGGAGGCATCCACATCTGGATTCAGATCTAACACTCACAAGAACATAGCATGAGGTGAGCAGTGATGCATACATTGAAGTTAAAAAAAAATCATGAGGGTCTGAGACTAAAGGAATCTTACAAAATGATGTAATTAATAACTGACAAGGCTGTAAGCTTCTCCTAAGTTTGATATTTACTCCTAATCTTGTGCTCTTACATCAAAGACAGCTACACAGCTCTACATTATGACGGAGTGGGTCAACATAAACTCAACAGGTAAGAGTAGGAAGGAGCTCGCTGGCCATAGTGAACCAAAACAAGCGTGCAGCAACTCTAGGGCTAAGAAACACATGTGTTGAAATCTTCTTACCCTTGCATAACCTGACATGCCCACATCCAGTTCAAATCCACTGATTTTAGAGCTATATTTCCTTTTTTTTCCTCTTAACATTGCATATGTAATATCTCTGTGCCCCTACCTTCAGGCAGATAGTGGTAGACTTTGTGAGATTTACCCTATTTTACTTTAAGATAGGTAAGTAGATGGATAGAAGATAGATAGATAGATAGATAGATAGATAGATAGATAGATAGATAGAAGATAGATGGGTGGATAGATAGATAGATAGATAGATAGATAGAAAGATAGATAGATGATAGACCCTGCCTGCTTGTAATACAGTCACTTAAATATGTTGTTATAATTCTTTAATTTTCCCACTACCATTTTGAAGCTAAATAAGCTAGCACTAGATTGAAAATCCCTTTGTCAATTTTTAGACTAGGTTCATTGTACCAGCTGGAATTTCTTTATAGAATCATCTAAACATATGACCTCTACACTTCTCTGAACTTTGCCCTCTCCCAGATCTTTTTGAGCTCTGATTCCCATAGTTTATTCTGAATATATCCCCAGCTTGAAACTCACTCTCAGTAGGTTTTAAATTCAGGCAAAAACTAAAATAGAACCACTCAATCTATAATGCCCTGGACTGACCACTCTCATCACCAGCATCCTTATTCCAGGAAGAATCGATGGAAAACAATGACTTGTAACAGTAGGTTGTACAGTCCAGAGAGTCCACTTATCTATCTATCTATCTATCTATCTATCTATCTATCTATCTATCTATCTATCTATCATCTATCTATCTATCAATCATCTATCATCTATCTCTGTCTCTATCTCTATCCTCTCCCTCTCTCTCTCTCTCTCTATCTCTATCTCTATCTCTATCTCTATCTCTATCTCTATCTCTATCTCTATCTCTATCTCTATCTCTCTCCACTCATGCTATGCCCGTACAACCCAAGGGAAAATTAAAGCAAAATACCACCCCACCCTCCAACTCTCTACCTCCTGTTCTCTCTACCTTCACCCTTGCCAAGGATGTAGGAATTCTTGAACAAAATGAGAATGAAAAAGGCTGTCACCCCAAAACATAGAGCCATCTCACCCCTACATGATACCTTCACCCTCTGCCTGTACCTGAGGCTGTCCTGGAAGCACCAGGGGCAGCAGCAGTAGAAAAAAGGCCAAAAGAGCTGGGTCAGACTGCATCTTGATTCAACTGAAGGTATGGGATTAAGTCTCTAGGCTTCCCCTGAGCTTTTATCTCCAGTGCAAATGAATAGTCTCAGTAGGAGGGACAAAGATTTCAACATCAAAAGGGCTAATATGTGAAGGGTCTTAAAAGGAGGGAAAAGGTGTCATAGCAAACTGTTGACTTCAAACATGGGTGGAAATGAGTCTCAGCTATGAAAACACAGTTGTCCTCATCCATTCCAAACTGATATCTGTCCCCACCTTTCAGGCCCTCTTATACAAATAGATTAAAGCAAACCTGAAACATCTGGAGGGGCCTTGGGATGGGTCCCTTTCAAAAGGGATTATGGTCTTTTCCTCAACTTTCAGGGGAGGAAGGCACTAGAAGGAAATGCAACCTAACCTGTTCATTCTAAGGACCAAAACCACTTACTTAACCACTTAACCATGTCCCTTGGATGAGGACCAAAGTGTGCCCCTCGGAGGATTGCTTAAGCAACACTGCACTGTGTTGCCCTCTTACAAGCCTTCCCTCATCCTCAGCAATCTGCCTCCTCCAGAATGCTGAGTACTCTAAACATTCATTCTACTGCACCTCCAAATGCTCTCTAATCTCTCTATGCTGAATGTCCACGGTCTCTGCTATATGTCTTCTAAGAAGCCTCTATGCCACCAGCAACAGACGTCTAACAAGCCTCAAGTTCTCTGACCTCTCAAGGAAGAGTTTGGTTGCTAAGACCTGGACGAGAAATCACAGCTCAGGACTCTTACTTTGAGTTATTCTAAACGTGTGTGTGTGTGTGTGTGTGTGTGTGTGTGTGTGTGTGTGTGTGTTCTCAGTCATCTTATTTGAGTACTTACAACCCAAGCAATGTGGAGTTTCTCTGGGAGACACTAGATTTCACTGAAAAGTTTCCATGAAGGGTTTATCATTCCATTTTTATTGAGAAGGTTGGTGTCTGTAACTGGTAGCTATGCCGACTGCTGCTTCCCTCCTTCTCACAGTGACCCTAAATTCAGATTCTGAGGCCACTTAGTGCTGTGGTCCTCTGACTACTCACTCATCCTTCAAGATTTTATGTATGTCATACACCTGGTTTTAAAAACATGAGTTCTTTCTTTTCTAGTCTAGAAAGGTGTTGAGACCTGAGTTAGATATAATTCTGGGGCATTACATTATATTACAATATTGGGAAATCTTTAAGGTTGTATTTTATCTTGATTTACAGTTTCTCATTCCCTATCTCCCTTACTCAAAACCAGAGAGTCCCACATCCTGACCTTTTCATCCAGAAAACAGAGGGTAAATAATCTACGGTTATCTTAAGAAATCAAACATGCACATGATATGAAAATGTCTGGAATCTCGGTCTAAGTTGGTGGCACTAGATGTCCTTTACATAAGAATGAATGGAAGGAAGGCCATGTGAGTAGAATAGTCTGGGCAACAATGAGAGCATGAGCTGTAGCCAGTCCCCTGTACCTTAGCAACTGTATCTAGAAAATGACACAGGATGAAAAGAACAGGGTCTCCCTAAGAGTCTGATCAGAAATGGGGAACCTCTTCAGGAAGCAGCCCCAGTATTGCCCCCTCCACAGCTTTCTAGAACCCAAGGTATTAACCCCCCAAGACCAGAGCTCAGTGCCTTTATCCGTGCTATACTGTTTCTCCAGCTCCTCTTGTCTTCATCCCTTCAGCAAATGTGGGGTTCTTGCTTGATGCCAGATAACTTACAAAGGTATCTGGCCACACAGAGCCATGTTAGACCAATCTGACTCTGTTTAGAGTGATGGAGAAAGACTGTAGTTTCACCCATGTGTCCTGGGCTTCCTTGTGTGTCACTGAAGGGCTCAAATTATTTTACATTGTTATGATTTGTCACTGAAAACAAAACTTTAAGACTCAGACTGTACAGGTGGAGAGAGGTCAGTTTAATGTACTCTGCCTACTACATGCTTGGAATAGGTAGTGCGGTCACAGTACCACCTTGTGGCAGATGATGTCAATCGACACTTGAGTTCACCCAGATAAAGCTTGTGTTACAGCTTGACTGTCAGTGCCTACTTTTCTCACACTCTGAAGCAAGTGCCTAAGCCTCTGAGTGATCTGCTGCATGTGCACTCCATAGACCACAGGATTAAGTGTGGGAGGAACTCCGTGTAGAGATTTGTCAATAAGATGTGGATGTGGCTGGGAACTGTGTGGAGGTCAAAATGGTGAGCCAGGAAAGAAAAGAGAGCGGGTGTGTAGAAGAGAACAGCAGCATGGGCCCTGCACATATCCAAAGCCTTGTAGCAGGTACCATGGGATGCCAGGCAACAGACAAGTAGGCATATGAGAGCTTAGGCAGAACCTATGAGCCCAAAGTCCAGGGCTAGGGAGAGCAATGTGGTGGCCAGTTCATACCAAATATTGGGACGTGTGTTACCACATGCTAGATAAGTCATGCCCATATGCTTACAGTAAGTGTGAGGCAAAGCCCAATGCCCATAATAAAGGAGTCTCTGGAGAAGGACCACAGAGAATGCCATGACACAGGCACCATGAGTCACAGCTGCTACAGCTACTATACCCACCACACACTGACTCAGCAAAGCCCCATAGCATAGAGTCCGGCAGATGGCCACACAGTAGTCCACTGCTGTGGTTAGCAGCACTGAGGACTCAGCAATGAAGGCCACATGAACAACCAACATCCCCCAAAGGAGATTTCATCTGACAAGCCCCAAAGCACAGGTAGAGCTTTAGGTACTGTAGATGTGGCCAGAATCAAGTCAACAGATGCCAGAAGCCCCAAAAGCTGGTACATGTGATCCTGAAGGGTTGTGTCAACTGCCACCAGCCCCAGGAGAAGGGTATTCCCTACCAAAGGTGCCAGATACAACAAGGACATGGGCACCGAAAGCCAAGCATGCAGGCCCTCAAGTCCTGGTACACCCAGTAGGACAACGGACCCAGGCCCAGAAAGTGTCTGATTGAGGATGGGCACCACAGGATCCAGGTCCATCTTCTGCTTCCACCTGGATTTGTCCCTGCAGGGCATAAAGGAGTACTGTAAGCGTCAAGTGTAGTTTTACAGAGATATGGGTGAGGTTAGTTGATGGAAATGAAGGAGAAAGCTGCTGCCACATTTTCTAATCGCTATTCCATGGACTGCTGTGCGGAACAATGGATTTCCCAACAGTATTGTGGTGTTGGTAGTGTTTCCATGTGATGAATTCTGGATCTGAGTGTTTAACAGATGCCTAGTTACATAAGTGATAAACAAGAGAGTTAGGGGTTGAGTCAAATCTCATCTGCCTAAACACCATGCACTTTTGAGTGTCCCTTACTCTGAATGGAATGCTCCTGCATCAGTCCAGGTATGTGGGGAAATTGTTCTTACTAGGTGGCAAGCAAACTACATCTTCCTTCCACCCTAGGGAAATGTACATCAGCAAGACCAGGATGAAGCAGACAGGAAGTGTCTCTTCCGATCCTTAACTGACAAAAGTTAAGGGGAAGCTCCTGGTCCACAATCCTTTTCTCAAGAGTTTATTAAATTCATATCCACTCCCCCAAATGCTACATCCCCCCCCCACTCTGTATAGGATGCTTTCATGCTGCCAATACCGTATCTCCTAGTTCTTGTCCACCACAGCTCTAAGTACCTAATTTTGTGGCATGTAACCCTTTCTTTGATCAGTATTGACATCTGAGATTCCTCAAATCCAACTTTGTGGTTCCTTTTTCCTCTGTTCTTTGTCCATGAAAAAGACACTGTAGATTCTCTAGAATCATGTTGGGGAAATCTGGAACCCACTAAGGCTAAAAATCATCAAGACTGGGACAGCAGTGGAAGAGCTATCTCTAGAACAGTCAAGCTGGTGGTCCAATTAAGATGATGATGCTGGAAGGAGGGCAGACTGTGTGTGTGTGTGTGTGTGTGTGTGTGTGTGTGTGTGTGTGTGTGT